CTTACTCCGAGGATCGGTGCTGCCACTGAGACTGTGGCCGGTTGCTGCCGCAGCTGCTTCGGCCCAGCAACGGGCAAAGGTGCTAGGATGGACTAGTCACTTAGCTGCTCCTTTTGGCGCAGTGGTGTACCTGAAGACAAAACTCTTTGATAGAGATACAGCGCCATGAGTTTGGACTGGAGTCGAGATGGATAAAAGGTCAGAATGTGGGGCTTAGCTCTATATTAGATCATGGACACCTGCTGTATGTTCCTGCAGACGGCGGGGAAAAAGAGAAATTTTTCCATACAGTCCATAGACGACCCAATCTGGTAGATCCAGGACAGCCTCAAGATGAATTACTCAGCGATTCCCCACAGCCGAGGAGGAGGTTGGCTACGAAATCCAATATAGAAGAAATTGAGATGAAGCCACTCACCCTTGGTGCAGAGGACCTCAAGGATTGGGCAACAAAGGAGGCTCGAGATGTCTTGGAGGACTGGGATATAAAGAGAGCAATGGCTATTATCCAGCAGCTGGCGAAGTCATCCTTCTTCAGTGACAAGAAGTTTGGTGTATATCGTCATGGTGGTGCAGTTGGGTGGATGAAAGGAATAGGAGAGGATCCAGCGTTAACAAAGATGATGACTAGGCTGGTCGTCGAAGTGGAGCCGACAGCGACGTTTACATTAATGCTGGTTTCATACAACACCAAGAAACCCTTGCACAAGGACGTGAACAACGACCCTCTCACCAATAACTACGTGATCCCTATTGATGTACCTCTTCGAGGAGGAGAATTATGGGTGGAGCTTCAGCCTAGGGACTATGTTAATGGTGAAACAGACCAGCGGATAGTGGGGACCAAGAAAGTCTATGGACAGTTGTTACCGCTGTGTCAAGGCGAAGTTCACAAGTTTGGACCAAGGCGAGTCCATGAAGTATGTGATTGGGATGGAGATCGCATAGTGTTGATAGTCTATTCACCTCAATACTTGGGTAAGCTGAGTCAAGGACATATGGATCTTCTATATAATTATGGTTTCCGATACCTATATCTCAGCTCCCGGAGTTCTATGAGAACGAAGAGGCTCAGCAATTTCCGTTGAGGTCCTGCAAGACAGAAGTGGTGGATGAAGTAATTGAAGGTCCAGCCGATCCTGATTGGACAATGTACCTTTAAGTGGGTTCTGGATTGGTGAAAATTAATGATTCAGATGCTGTACATGGGTCTATTCCCCGCGTGAGCAAGACCGAGGTCGTATATACTCAGAACATAGAGAAGGTTTTGAGCGAGCTGAGGGGGCCACTGGAGGTGATATATATAGTTAATCCCGCCGAGGTGATGTCCAATTTGGATGCGTGGCGATCGGCGATTGAGAAGGAGCTGAAGACCATTGAAATAGGAACCCGACGCCTACTACCAGGAACAGATGAGCGTCGGCGATTGTTGAACCTACCAAAGGTCCAGAAGCTTCCGATGAAGTTCGTATTTACGATAAAGCCGAGTTCGGATGGGTCCTAGTTCAGAAGGAAAGCCAGGCTGGTGGTGTGCGGAAACCTGGCGGCGGAGGACGGGGCATCAGTATATATAGAGGCAACTCCAGCAGAGGCCGCCCAGCTGTTGCAGTCCTGGACATTGTTGCAGCGTTCCTTCGGACACCAATGGGAAGATCGGTAACAGACCCGATTGTGGTGGTGCAGCCTCCGCGATTACTGGAGGTAATGGGCTTGACAGTCAAGATGGAACTATGGGCTCTCATCCGAGCTCTCTATGGCTTGCGCCAATCTCCGGCACTTTGGGGTGATTTCCGAGACTACACCCTTAGAACCAGCGAGCCACCTCGAGGACTGAAGTTTCGGCAGGGCTGCGCAGCAACAAGCTGGTGGAAGGTCATCGATGAGGACTCCAAGATGGTTGCAATTATTCTGATATATCTTGACGATTTCCTCATTTGCGGACCTTCAATAACAGTCAGACAAATTTCCGAATGGATATAAAGCATTTAGGAAATGTCAGAACTGGAGTTCTTGAGGCCAGGCTCGTCAATTAGATTCCTTGGAACGGAGCTACAAGTGGACCCGGAATATCCGAATGAGATCGATCTAGCCCAGCAAGGTTATATACAAGAGCTATTGCGTCTTCACGATGTACCTCCAAAGGCCCTGGACAAGATCCCCATCTCTAAGGAGGTCGTCGCGGAAAGGGAGCCAATTCCGGAGCCGACTAAAAATAACGTTCATTTGGCTCAGCAACTGACGGGTGAGATATTATGGGTAGCCCAGCGAAGTCGCCCAGACTTAAGCTACACGACATCTGTTATGGCATCGCTATGCTTGCGGCAGCCACAACAAGTCATTGAGATTGGCATGAAAGCGCTCAAGTACCTTCAGCGAACATCAAGGTTTCAACTACGGATACAGTGGAACGAGAAGTCGTTGGTCATGTTTTATGACTGGGCCTGGGCTGGGGGCCGGGGGCTGGGCTGGGCTGGGCTGGGCGAAGACCGAGGGGGGGGGGGGCCCAGCGCACAAATATAGCAGTCACGTTTCCTTGATTGGGCTGGGTCTCGCATACTTCTTTGATCAACACTACAAGTGTAGACTCCAACCTTGTTGCCGTAGAGTCTCGAACCCCAAAACCCTGCTCTATGTTCGTGGATTGCCAGATCGCGAGTGGGGCTGGGGCTGCTGGGGCTGGGGTTGGGGTTGGGGCTGGGACGGGGCTGGGGCTGGGGCGGGGCTGCGCTACATATGCGCCGCAAGGCGCCAGATCGCATGGGGGCTGGGTGGCAATATATGGGGGAACCCCCATAATGAGGAGAAGTGGTCGTCAACAGATGATCACTCTATCTACTGCGGAAGCAGAGCTCCTGGCGATCATAGACGGGGCAATCGCGATGAAGGGCATCGAGGCTTTACTATTGGACCTACATGCGGAGGAAAAGTAGATAGCGTCTAATAGTACAGCTGCATTATCCATATCTGGTGTATCGAGCTCTTGGAGAACCCGTCACCTCAAGATTAAGTCAGGGTGGTTGCAAGAACAGATCAGTCACGGGGTGATTACTACCTCTTACTGCCCAGGTGAGCGACAACCAGCTGATCTACTTACAAAGGCGTTAAGCTCAGCGAGAATGACATCACTCTTACAATGGTGGAGAGTAGGTGATGTCCAAGTTCCTCGCACTACAGCAAGTCCTACCGTATCGTCACGAATGCTGGTTGCAATGATTTGTTGCTTGTTGGTGGTGTCAGTACGAGCCAGAGAAACAAGGATCGGGTCTGCAAGTAGACTGGGACATATTTGGAGCTTGCATGGTGCTCTTGATGATGCTGGGTGCGTTGGTTATATGGGAAGCTCTACATTGGTCGTTTGTGGAGTTCATCAATGAATATGCTCCCGGGGCGAACGCCAGAAGATTGCGAAGGTTGAGGAAGCTACAAGATGCTACAACGAGGGCGATCGAGCGTGAGTTGGTGCGTCTACAGGAGGAAGCTCAAGGTGTCCAAGGCCTTGGGGAATCAGCGCGCACTACTACTGTATCAAGACCTAGGGCAGCTACTCCAGTTAGACCGTCAAGGAGCACTACACAGGAGCGACCTCAAGAGACGATGCAAGGGGTCTCACAACCTTCGGCGTGGAATTCTGGGCGAGATCCAGGTCACCAAGAGCAAATGCCCCAAGCGTCTACTATGTCTTCGGGAAGACACGAAGATGAAGATAGTGCAATAAGGAGGAGACGATCACAATGTATTCCAAGTTCGCTAGCAAGGCCAAGGAGGTTGATGGATTCGCCGAGTGCATGGTCACCCGTAAGCTATGACGGTAATGAGTCGGACCGAGGGACTAATAATGTATGTATATTAATGATATATGATCATCTAAAAGAGGGCCTAGGGATGGAAGGTCTTCAAACTTCGGGTTTGAAAGAGGACTTGGGGAAGAGATTGAGCTCACGATTGATTTCGCTGATGACGCCTTCACAGGGACCTACGATGAAGCAGCTAAAATATGTACTATGGCTGTAACGAATGAAACATATAAGCGGCTCAAGAATATCGGCACTAATTAACTCATAGAAGGCGAGATAACATTCCAGGCCTATCGACCGGAATGAGGAGGAGTACAGAAGATGCCTAACATAAGATATCAGTGGGATATCAGAAGTATCGATGTTCTCTAGTCCGCTTTAGCTCAAGGGTGGTTACGAAGTAAAGAGCCCTTGAATCGTCAGTAACACTCGCGATGACAACAAGAGTTCGCACTTATACACCAAGAACTCTAGATCATATCGCTATGAGTTTTTACCTAGCTGACACAGCAGAGCTGTTACATGTATTGATGCTGTGAAAAGATTCCGAAGAGAGCGCGCATGGTTGTGCCTTCACTAGTGACTACCCTACATATGTTCTGCACTACTGGATTGGAGATTCAGTATTTCTAAATCTCAAGTTATGAAAATATATATATTCATAATACCTATAGTGCCTGTTTTATCACCTGCATTATTTCGCTCAAAACATGATTTCGATTTCCGTAATTCTCATATTTTATAATCGATATTATTTCTTTTTCATTTTCCTATCCATGGCCCAGATCGTATGCCGAAAATAAGCCACCATTGTGGCACGGGCGAATTTTTACTTACATCACTTTGGGTGGAGGCAACATCCAGAAGAATGCAAGAAATGGCGACTTGCTGTACTAAATGGCGCTTCGGGGCAAGAAAATTGGTTCGAAGCTCCGGATCCATTTCACAAGCATTTGGGGTTTAGGGCTCAAGGCTTTGGGGTGTAGCCTGTGGAGACTTCGTCGAAGTTTAATCTTGAGATCATGCTACAAATGCACTTTCAAGCGTCTCCCTTAACCCAGTGGGCCATCCTGAACTTCGGAACCACCATCCTATACAATCCCAGTGCGGAAAGATTGTAGCCTGCAGCTCCTGTACAAAGAGCAGCTTAATTCAAACTGAGGGGAGTGAGCTCCAACCCGCTGTCGCTTCCATTTCATGCGGGCCTCACTTTCCTTTCCAAAGGCTTCCTTTACCCTTGCCGCCTTCCAAAATCAAGCGGGGCTGGCTTCGGATGGTCTGTTGTCGTGCATACTCCTTGTTACACATAGCTGCTCACAACAGAGAAATCCTGATGCCACTGCCCGTGCTGTGCCCACCTGCCTTTACCTTTACCTTTGCCGCCTTTGCTTTGGTAGTCCTTGCCCTTGCCGTCGTATCCTTTTGCAGCGCCCACATGACCAAAATGTGCTTTGGCCTGCCGATTGTTGGTATCTAAATCAGACACGAGCAAGCATTCCCTGCACCGTTCCACCCTGCTACAAATTGACCCCTGCATACCCCTGCCTTGTCATAGCCTCCAATCGCGGAGGGCACGTGGTCGGTGTGTGTGCAGCGAGATGGAACTCCAGGGAATGCACCAATATCCACGACGCCGAACCCTGAAACGGTGCTGATGGACACCCAGTCCACATCCATGGGCAATAAGCCATCTCCGCAAAAGTCCTTCTGTCCGTGGAAGGATGCCTCTGAATGTCACGGAACCAGGAGACTGTGACTAAACTCGAAATTCAAGAAATAGGCGACTTGTCTCAGACAAGAGTCCAGAACGTCAGCCATGGCAGCACCAGATCTTGCAGCCCCTTCCACGCCCGGAGCGACACAGAAGTCACCGCACCAGCCGAGACCCTCCTTCGCATCGAAGAGGCAGCCTTTTGAAGCTGGTGGAGTGTTGGTTGGCAGGCCATCCTCCCAATGGTTTATCCGGTTGATTTGGGGCTTGTACTTCAAGACGTCCAGCTTCAGGAGACGGCCTAAGGCTGCCAGGAGCTTCTCCTCTGCCTTTCGGCGGTAGCCCTTCGGATTGCAGTTGAACTCACGCTCTGCAAACTCAGCGGTGCTAAGAAGCGTGAGCTGCTGCGGGCCGGGAGTTCCCCAGTCTCCGTTCTGCTGAGGCTTCCGGGTGTTATTGCCGATGAAGCCGAGGGCCTCAAAATCACAGACATGTGGGGGTTTCCGAAAATAAGGGACCCTAATCTGGTGCCCGAAATAGTAGGATCCTTGTTATAAGGACCCCAGAATAAGGAGAGCCTCATCATCGCAGACATGGGCAGCCGTAAAGGGAATTGGCAGCGGCTCGCCCTCAAAGCTGACTTGCATGGCGATCAGCTGGTTGGATTCCACTCTGCGGAGACATTCCAACATTGCCGAGCATGCTGCTCCCCCACTCAAGAGGAATGGATCTGTCAAAATATGCTGCGCAAAGCCCCCGACAACGTAGGTGAAGGGTCCTAAGGTTCCGCCACCCTGCATCTGCAGCTCCCACTGGCCGCTTGTGTCCTTGCGAAGGCCCACCACCTTGTAAGCGTCGTTCGGAAACCCACTGACTTGCTCCAACACGTCTTCGAACTCCTGAGCTGTCTGCCGATGTATGTTACGAAGCATAGGGGCCATGCCTCCGTTCCCGACCCAGCAGTCGCCCGGAAGTCCTTGGAAGCCTTGCGATCCCGATATGGTACCAACCTGGTTCGGGGGCAACACTTGGCAGAATCCCAGCTTCTTCCAGAGCTCCAGCTCTTCGACAAACCAGTCGCTGCTCACAGAGATATATTGGCAGCCGTAGTCGAAGAAGGGTTTCCCTGGCTGGGCAAGAGTCATGTTCTTCGGACCCATCTGCGTTGCCAGCTTACCCCGGCTGGTGCAAAGAGTTAGTCGTGCTCCGTGAAGGCTGCTTTGAGTGTCTCTTGCCATTCTTGCAAGTCGTCGTGCGCACACCAAGGCTGCCACTCCTGACACGCACATGCAAGTAAGGATGTTTTCGACCGTTCACCTCTGTTGCATGGCCGAACACGCGTGAGTAAGTCTGACAGCTGAAATTGCAAGTCCGGAGTAAAGACTCGGGCAGACACACAGACAAATGGGATTGCAGTTGTTGGCAAACCTTGGCCCATATTGCGTTCCGAGTAGTCCCCACACACCTCCTGAACTTGGAGAAAGCACAGAAGCCCTGATACGAGGAGGACCCGACAGTTCAGAAATTTCAGAAAGATCCTAATCCCTCAACCCGAAGCCCTAAACCCCAACCCCCATACACCTAGACCCTGTGTTCCTCAAAGCAGGCTCCTGATCCCACAACGGCAATGGACGGGCCAGGGAGCTCCAAACGCCTCGGAGTGGTACGAGCCCCGTGGCCCAAAGGTTTAGAGCCCTTCAGGGGTTTCTTACGTGCACTAGCCTCTTTTGGGGTTTAGGGGTTTTTTGGGGTTTAGGTAGAGATTGTAGGGCCTTAGGGTTTTAAGGCCCTTGGGATGTTTAGGCCAAACGGTTTTGGGGTTTAGGGCCACACTTCTCCCGATCTAGGTCCCAAGGCGTGCCCATTGACTCCCTGCCATCACAGCGGCTCTGACGGTACTGTCGCTTGCAGCGGAGCGGTCGACGGAGAGGGTGTCTTTTTGGCCATCCAGCGACGGGCCATCTTTGCAAACCGACTAGAGGTGCGTCTTCGGAGACGCGCCCCGAATGCTAGACGGACTTGGGAAGAGCACACGTGATACCTCTGTAAAGGATCGAAATTCATGCAGCATTTCCCCCGTAGTGGACTCTAACTAGGATGGCTGGATTTGAGCCTTCCGTCATGCAGCCTCATGATATCGCAGCGGTTCTGTGCGAGACTTGTGCGAGATCCAGGTTCTTCTCACGGCGTGGCAGCAGCCCTGGTCTTGCCCCGTGATCCGGTCTTCGCATCGAAGCTGAGCATCCCTTTGGGTTGATGCAACTAGCTGTGCTGAAGCAAGAGTTGTGCCATAGGCACCAGGCAGATCCTGCGCACTGCCCATTTCGGGCAGGCGGGCAGGCTGCCAACGATCTGTTGAATGACTTGGTTAACTGCACGGTACAACATGATATTCATGAAGCGCTGATGGTCAGCTTGTACGGAGACAAGAAAATGCAAGCTTAGCATGAGTTGGACCCTACTTTCCAAAAGAAGGCGCGTAAGGTGGTCACTTCATTCACTGCCCTGTAGCGTCTCCGGCTGGGCCTGTAGCATCACAGGAAACACCTTGTGAATCCGACACAACACAATGTAGGATTGTAGAAGAATGTAAAGTAACATCTTCTATGATATACTCGAACGCCACATAAATATGGTTTACCGCACTACCATATGATGTAGTATACCACACAATCATATAAGACAATACAACTGTCATATGATATAGTGTTACGCAATTCCATAGAGTGCTACATCATGATGTGATAGAACACAACATAATAAACCAAGCCATGACATACTATCCTATGCCATACCATCTATACCATAACATAATCTACTATACTATACGGGCACAAAACCGTGCTGTACTGTACTGCATGATAACCTGTTCTAACCGAGTGTGCAAGACAAAGTAGTGACAGCAGCTTTCAATGTGTTCTCATCTAAGCTGAAACACAAGAATACAAGAACCATAAAGTAATATTCTATGTCTATACCATAATACCGTAACAGTACAATACAATACACTGTGCGCGTATATATATATATATATATATATGTCCGTCTGGTCGTGCGCTGTGTGTTCACCGCGCCCCCCTTCCTTCGCCCCCATGGTATCCCCCCAAACACACGGGTCTGGAGCCTTGGGCGCCTGTGCGGTGGGCCTCTGTTTCAGACGGGGAGGGGAGGGTAAACTCCGAAGCTCAAGACCAAAACCTTCCACAGGATATATATATATATATATACACACACACATATACGTATGTGTGTACATATATATATATATATGTGTGTATATCTTTATCTATTTCTATGTGTATATATATATATATATTAGTCTAGTCACGGTTTGCGAAAGCTGTCCGAGGCCGATGCAGAGGTGGAGGCGGCTGGCTGCTCCGGCGCTGCTTCGCCCTCCGGGGCCTGGCTACTATCAGATTGGCTATAAGGGTCACTCCAAGAGTTACTAGAAGGGTACTTTAAGGGGTCATTCAGGGATAAAACAAGGGTTAGTATAAGGGTTCTTACAAGGGATGCAATAAGGGTTACTATAAGAGTCATTATAAGGGTATTGCAAAGGTTACTATCAAGGTTGCTATAAGGGTGATTACCAAGGTTACCATAAAGGTTACTACAGGGATCATAAGTAAGGGCAGCCCAATTTGCGACAGATCCATCTTGGGTTTCAAGGGCCTTGTGGGAGTTTGGGGCTTTGAGAGGTTTTAAATGCCTTGAAGAGGTTTCAGGATGTTTTGCAGTTTTAGGATGTTTAGGGATATCTACTTGCTTTAGGGACTTTTAGAGTTTAGGGTCCTCTACATCATGTTAGTCAGGTGGCACAGGGGGCAGAAAGCAATGGCCGGCGCACTTGCGTCTCCTTTTCCGTCTCCTTCTGGGGATCGGCTTCGGCCACCTGACATGGCATGTTGTGGGAAGGCTCTGCACAATTTTGCCATCTCACGCATTCCGCCTGCTGAGGGCTCTCTTGTGGCTGGGAGCCTTTCACCTCTGGCTCAGGCTTCTTGACCTCTGGCTCGACCTCGCGATGGACTCCGCAAAGCAGTAACCAGCAAAGAGCGGACTCGGAAATCCCGTCGGCATGTCGATGGGGAGCCACTTCGCGTCCAATACATGTCGTCTAGAGAGACTTTGAGCATGCTGCACCTACCTTAAGGACGAAATGAACCCTAAAAGGGTTTAGGGTTCATATACCATATAGGGATTCAATTTATAAGGGTATAGGGCCCCTACTTTTAAGGGTCATTTCGTCCATAAGGTACAACCAAGAAAACTGCGAAGCATTTCACCTTGGGAGCCAGCCGGGATCGCTTCTGCTTCCGCCGGTCTCTTTCCCTGCAACGTGAAGCAGCCACCGCTGCTTTCTCGTGACAGTCTTTCTAATACATAAAATAGAATATATCGTATACTGTGCTATACTATCCTGTAATATCCTATAACGCCCTACAATGTACTAAACTAAGCTAAAGTAATACTATGATATAGAAAAATATGCCATGATGGCTTGAATCAAACCTTGGCCTCTGCCATGTTCAGCTCAGGTCGGCCCGGTCCAGGCCCTCCTGACAGATTTCATTGCAAGCCAAACCGTGTCGGTGTTACTCTACCCATAGACCCCAAAGTAGTTCCTTTTGGGGTTACCTTATAGGATTCTATACATGAAGCCCTAAAGGGAACTACTTTAGGGCCCATGGGTACCTTCTACTCTATTCTATCCTGGTATCTTATTCTACTCTTCATCCGACGGTCAACTGTAGTTGTAGGGTATGCTCTGTTACGGTATGTAAAATTTGCCTTAGCTCTGGTCCTCGTCCAGCTGAGCTCGACAGCGGCGTCGGCGGCTCAACGCGCTTGATGTGCCACAGCGTCATCAGCTGGCAGAATTTTTAGTTAGAGCTGAGGGGTAGGGTTTAGGTTTTAGGGTTGGGGTTTAGGGTCTAGGAGAGCCACGAGATCGAGATCTTGATTTCTGCGATGGCTTAGAAGTTTGGGGTTTCGGTGACCAGGCGACGGAATGCAACTGCGGTATTTCTGCCGTCCACGGTCGTTCGCTTGACTGTCAGCTTTAATTAGTCTCCTCTCAAAAGACCGAGGTCTTTTTCGATAAAGGGCAAGTTGCTTTTCTACAGTATGCCTGTCTTCAGAAGACACAGGGCTCTGCGCAGTCTGTACTTCCGACCTCTCTCAGACGACAAAACAGATATATGGTCCCACGGAACCAGCAGTCATGATCATGGGGCAGTCGCGCGCCTCTGGATCCCCTCGGTATCCATGCAATGTCATGGTGGCCTCCGAGGCATTCCAGGAGCTGAGAGTCTACACACATCGCATCTGCTCGAATCGGAGAAACACCGACGACACCGAATGAATCTAGTGACTAGTGCGACATGTCCGCCTCGAACTCCACCCAGTCACCCGGTGTCAGCTCTGCAATCTGCAGCAGCGCGGTATGTTTGCACGGAAGATGCTTAGAATGCACTTGTTTCACAATGAGAAGCTTTCCCGTCAACTCTTTCCCTTTCCTGTCCTTTTGTTTCTTGTTGGCTGACGGATGGTACAGCCGTTAGGACGTCGCTTCACATAGCAGAAACCAGCATCGAGTGATGAACAACCGCAGTAAGCCTCTTTATTGAGAGATTCGCTGAAGAGCAATGCCACATCTGGCAAATCGCGACCTCAAAGGCTTCATCGTTCTTCTTGTTGGATGGGATACGCGCGCCAGCACATTCTGGGCCCAGCACGAGGAAAGCGAGAGGGGTACATGCGCACCTTCAGCTGACGCTGCGGGAAACAACGTGCATAACTGCTACAACTGAAGTTCAGCTACATGTACAGCATGAGGATGCTCCTCCACTGGGTTCGCATCTCATTCACAAGTCACTTGAGACGGCATCTCCGAAAAGGCTCTGCTTAGGAAAGTGGGTGCTCCGGCCATTAGCACACTCTTCGTGCGCACGAAGAAGACCTGTGCAGCTCGCAAGCAAGACCATTGCTCTGCTTGAACACCCTTGGCTCAAACGTGCAGCAACCGATCTTGGCCTCGAAACCTTCACGAATCACACGAACCTGTCCATGAGCAATGCCGGTCTCAAGTGTGTCATGTTCCAAAACATCGACATTCTTGTCCGTCATTAGTCGCAGTGGAGCGTCCACTCTTTCAGGTATGTACGAACAAGCTAGGGACAGGTAGGTGCTTGTTGCTAGGCATCATCTGAAACACCTCAGTTCTTGCCCCAGCCTCCCCTTGCCAGGTGAATGTTCGCCTTCGATACCTGTTGCTGCAAGGGCATGACACAGATTGTCTTGTAGGCTCCAAAGGACCAGTGGAGTGGTGGGAGTGATATTTACGGAGAAGCAGCTTCTTGCAGGTCACGGAAGTGCTGCTAGTTTCCGAGCCTTTTGTGCACACCGACACGGGTGAAACGGAGATTGTTCAGTGGGTCCGCTTTCAGCGTCCCTCACCTGTCCCCGAAATTGATATTAGGTGTTTGCCAATGGACCGCTTCAAATCGTCGGCACATAGCTTGCACCAGCGTTGGGCCAGCATCGCAACAAACAGGTTACCAAGACCCACGTTCGGCACAACAAAGATGAAGAAGCGGTGCAGCGGCAGGGATTCCGTTAATGCACCACGAAAGCTGTCCGGCCCAAACGCGTGATCTCCTAGACTACACACGCCCGGAGTGATGGGCGATTAGCGGCAGAATGGATCCTAAGCTACGGCACTTCGTTGGAGCTTGTCTTGGACATGCTCGCTCTGCCGTGAGATCAGCATCTCATCTGCTCTTTTCAGCAATCCTGTAAAGGAATTGCAAGATTCTGTGCAACTTACGGGCAGTGTTCCAGACTTGAGGCTGTTGCCATGACCTCCGTCTTCGGCCAGGCAAGGTTGTGAAGGATTGCTAAACTATCAAGCCCTGTGCCTGGAATCGAGGTCTGGGCATCAAGGACAGCATATGCCTTTTTAACTTAACGGCGGCATTGTTCAAGAAATCAAGAAATCAGTGGACCAAGAAGCACCCTTACAAAATTGGCTGAAAAGCGCTGAACTCAGAAATGGAGGGTTTTCTTTACTTGGGGAGCGGGCCTAACCCAAGCCCTGGGCAATCAGTCTTTCACTGCAGGAACTGATGAAAGGCCATGAGCACTTAAACTGAAACCCTAAACCCTAAACCCTTAAACTGAAACCCTAAAGACTAAACCCTAAACTGGAACACCTCCGGCGAGGTTGGAGGCTGACGTGGAGCGCTGGCACGCAAATCTTTGTTCAGCCCTTAGCCACGGAGGTTTAGGATCTCGGGGTTAGAGAGGAAACTGCACTACGTGCCGACTGCAGCCCTCCTGAGATTCGGGCATCGATCAGCCGACCGCTCTGCGAGACTTTTCCTGTGAAGGAAGCACACACGAGGCACCCATCAATCCTGTGTATACTATAATGGCAACATAGTATGAGACAACAGATACAGTTGTCAATACCTATACGTGGGTATTTGGAGCGGAATGGAGGCCTCAGCAGAGAGTCGTGGTGTCTTTGTCTTGCGCACTTTGCGCGCGTCCTCATCGGGCTCTGGCTTCACCTGGCATGCGAGAAGATGGTCGCGTGATTCACATGGGTAGTTCTCTAAATTAGGGTCCCTTCTAGGTCCTCAATATAGTCCGGCACTCTTTATAAAGGGACCCTAAACGGGACCCTAATTTTTAGTTCTCTAGCCACATGAAGTTAAGTTTGTCCGGCATCGGATCCGTGGGAAGAGAAACTAGAACCCTACTGGCACTCTCAGGGGCTTACTTAGCTTCTGCAAATCTCAACTCACGCACCCTGACAGCGTGCCGCTTCAGAACCAGATGAGGAATTGAGCCTTCAGCCAGTAGTTGTGATGCATCTTTGGATCACCACCTTCTTGAGGATGTCTTTCCAATGGATTGCGTGGCCTAGAGCTGCGCTCTGAAGCGCAGCGCTAAGGCGAAGAGTAGCTAACAACCGAGGCGGAGGCCTACAATTCTCCCATCGCTTTTTGCCCATCATTTCGACCTTGCGCGGTGCAGTCTGTCGAAGTGCACAACCAGTCTGGGTGTCCCTGTGCCTGTGCTTTGTGATTTCGTCTGGCCTTGTCTAGGGCTGCTTGCCTGACTGCATACCGTTTAGTCAATCAATCTCGCAGATTTCTTACCGTGCTGCTCACATACTCATCTATTTATAGCTCTAGCCGTCGATTGACTGCCTGCTTACCTGCGAAAATATGCTGTGCGTCTACCTGTCCAGGTGTTTGTCATGTTGCTTACCTGCGTGCATGTTCAAAACTACGCATGCATGTATACTTGTCTCCGAACATGCGCAGGTGGGTGCGCGTGTATGTGCGTGCGTGTGTGCGTGCGTGCGTTTGCGTGTATGTGTGTATGTGTGCGTGTGACGGGTGAGTGTGGTTGCGCGTGTTCGTCTCTTTCAGCCTGTCTAGCTGAATGTCTCTCTGTGTACATGCTCGCACACGGTGGGACGGAGAGAGAGAGAGAGAGAGAGAGAGAAAGAGAGAGCTAGCGAGGAGAGTGTCAAAACTGAGCACTGGGCCCAACAAACATCGCTCCGGTTGTCGGAAATGCGGATGCCTTCTTCTTGACCTTCATCGCTGAGTCATACAGAAGCGCTCAGACACCGTGGCGATCGATACAGTAACGTGTAGAGGCAATGGTGGCAAATCTCGCGTGACGTCGTCAGACAGTTTTTCTGCATACCCACAAGCTCGCACTTGAACAAACGATATCGTATATAGTGAACCTAGGCTTGCAATGCCTGCACCTGGTCTTCAAATCATCATATTGCGTTTCGACGGCCATACCCAGATCGTAGAACCAAAAACCTGCACCACGGGATCTCGAAAGCTCTCCATCACCTGCCTGGCATCTCCCGCAACGTGGTCAGGTGCTGCAGTTGCAGCCTGGTCGCCTCGAAGGGCAGCCACACACATATATATATATATATATATGTATGTAGGTGTGTGTTTGTGTGTGCGTCTGCATGTGTGTGTGTGTGTGCGCATGTGTGTGTGTGTGTGTGTATTCATGCATGCGTGTAATGCGATATTGTGTCATGTTCTTATGTTTTGTTGTATATACACATAGACATATATACACTTATGCCTTATTTTCATTGTTACAGGTATGCTTGTACCTGTATTGTAATTATAGTGTGTCATTTTATATTATGTTGATGCAATGTGATATTGCATTATATTAATCTAAATTACATTATATTATATTAGTATATTATGGCATATTATTTTATGTTATGTTAGATTACGCTTCGGAACTTTCACTTCGTTTTATTGCAGTTCATTATTCTAATTTATGAATAGTTTGCTATACTATGCTAGGGCATAGTGCATAATGTCACATACATTAATATAGCATATCATTTTACTCTATTTTACTTTGTTTATACTGTATTAGCATGTTTAACAAATAACTTTTTCTATCTTATGCTACGCCATATTGCATAGTATAACATAAATATAATTTTGCTCTTTTGTATGACATATAATTTTATTCCTTATACTCTTTTTATACTGTATTAGCTTCCACCATACTGCACAGTACTATGTTATATATATACACACTGTAGCAGACGGCACTACATTATAATATTGTATATTGCAATACATGATAATATACACAGTTCTCAATGCTGGAAATTGTTAACACAATTGCTGTCATTACTGTTGTTGTTGTTGCTGTTGTATCATCCTTTCGTATAACATATCATATTATGTTACCTTACCGTTTATGATATTCGACTGTACTATGCTAAGTTTTATCATATTATATCATAATACGTCATAGTTTGATTTTCTGGTATAAATTTTCTAGTACGAAAAATGAAAAGCATATTCTCAGGCCTTATACCCATATATAATGTAATCCTATCTGATATGATATGGTATGACATAATACATTGTAAATTATTGGATAATCATAAGACAATGGAAAAGACGTGAATAGAATAGAATAAAACATACTAGTATTTCATATTGTATGGTAACTGTACTCTATTATCTAAAATATTATATATATATATATGTACCTGTGTATACCTATATATATATATATATATGTTGAAGTATCTATATGAGTAACGGAGGCTTCATTTCCTTACGACTTGAGGCTGCGGCTGCTGGCTTCTCGTGGAAAATATGCCGCCACTGTCCAGCCTGCACCAGAGAGCCCAGATGCAAGTTAGGGGTTTAGGGTTTAGGGGGTTCGAGAGCGTGTGTGCGGAAAGTACCGGCCGCTGAACATGTGTTGCACGTCAGTTGGCGTCCAAAAAACGCCACTGCGTATCACTCTAGCACGATGAATTTGCCGAGTTCGCAGAGTTCGCCGAACACTGCGCAGGAGGGGTACTTGCATAATCTAGTGTGACAGCAAATTCGGCGATGCTATGAGATGGAGCGAAGGGTGCAGGACGGAAGACGGGTGCCATGGACCATGGACTTGAAACTCATTGAAGGGTGGCAGTCGTGAGAACGAGGGGGTGCAGCAACATATTTGGGCAGTTTGAGGAGGAGTGCATGCCCACTCTTGCGAGTGCCCTTCAGCTGGATTGCTGCACTTTCACCGGGCTCTGCAAAATCTGCAGAAACCACCCCACCAGGTGTCTGAGCTCACTCTCACCCTACACCCTAAACCCTAAACCCCAAACCCTACACCCTCAAACCCGACAAAACCCTACATTCTGCAGAAAAAGGCTTCAGAGTCAAAGTGCCCGGGCCTGAGCACCTTCGCAGCCCTTGGCCCTCTCGAAGGAGATGGGAAGGTCCCGGATCGTGGAACATTTGATCGCACCTAAATGGGTAGTTGTCAAAATTATGGTCCCTTTTGGGGTACCCTAAATAATAGGTGCCGTATTATAATAAGGACCCAAAAAGGGACCATAATTTTTACAGCTACCTGAATGGATCTCGCATCTCACGTCTAGTTGGGGTTTCAGGCTCCCCGCCACCCCGGAGCCTTTATGACGGTCAAAGGTGGTGTCGACGGGCGTGCCGAGTTGGGACTGGTACGCCTCCAAGAGCAAATGGGGGTTTCCGAAAATAGGGGACCCTAATATAATACCCTAAATAATAGGATCCTTATTATAAGGACCCCAAAATTAAGGTACCCCTAATTTTCGGAAACCCCCAAATTGTTGCCGCGATAACAGGGGCACGAGCGAGCAGGTGTGCTCTTCTGCGGTCCGCCCTGCTGCCTCGTCGTTGGGATTGCAGATCCTTTGTATCGCATCGAAGCTCGCCTGTCACAAGGCTGAAGGTGCGCTTCTGAGGTTTACACTGCGGCTTCAAACCCCTAAACCCTAAACCCACAAACCCTAAAGTAAGACTGGATGATGCGCCTGCTTCCGGCTGAAGTACCTTCGCCATCCGTCCTCCGGCTTGCGCCCGACACCGCCGCGAAGATTCATTTGCCAATCCTCTGCCGGCACTTGGAGGTTCATGGGTAGTTATAAGTGGGGTTAGAAGTAGGGTAACTATACTTATAACCCATATTAAGGGACTTATGACCCCACTTATAACTACCCATGAACCTCCAAGCACTTCAACACAACTCTGACAGCGCTCAGCGCAGCTGCCCAAGCTTTCTGTCCAAGGCTCAATGGCGTGCGGATTGCCTGAGGTTCGCCGGACAAGCCTTGCGAAGAGGCGATAGTACTAGCACTTTTCTGTCTGGTGCTTAGTAGGGAATGATGGAATGGATCCCTATGATAGTCCCTTAAGGTCCCTTATAGTAGACCCTATAACCCATTCCCCCATTCCCTAGTAAGCACCAGACAGTTTTGTGCTGCATCGGCTGAAAAAGGCTGAGAAGTTGGTTGCACTGAACTACCAAACAAGCCAGAAATGTACCAGAAATTCGAAGCCGCGGAAGAGGCTCTAGAATGGATGATCTGACTCCTGGCAGAAATGCTTCTGCGGGCCTGCAAAGCATGTGCGCTGCGTTCGCAAAGTTGTTGTACCGACCAAAGGTGTGGCTGCCTCAGTGGCTCTGCAGCTTATTCCGCCCTATCCGAGGTGGTTGGCGCTATGAAACGTTGAAGTGGAGGCTTGAGGCCTGCTACTGGAGGCCTGTAGAGCAGGGAGCATGAACCAGAATGCGTTGAAGCAGAAGTGGTACAGGCCTCTGACGGCTTCAAAGCCTTCGGCAAGGAGTGCTCAAGGGAGTCCAAAGCCACTTCATTCCCAGAGACTCCAAAACCCCTGAATTAAGGAATAGACCTTAAATTATAGTAGGATCCCTAACATGATTTAAAATATATTCCTTAATTAAGGGGTTTTGGAGTCTCCGGGTTCATTCAAGCCATCACTGCGACCATGCCGCCATCACCGTAAGGACCCTCTGGATGTCCTGCAGCAGCCAAGGTATTCACGTCTAAGCCAACCATATCGTGTGTTGGTTGTGCCAGTCTCAGAAAGCCAAGCAGCCAACAAGTCTGAAGCGTCCTGCCATGGACATGCTGGAGTCATCCTCGGCGGTGTCCCGGCGCTGCACCCTGACGCACAAGGCAGTCTATGCCCTTAGCAACACTTGTTTGCCTCATGCATGATTCAGCAGACCCGTGGGCTGCCTGCGAGCATTCTTGCCCGCACCATGACCTGCAGCATGACCAGCAAATCAGGACAAGATGCCGGAGCATTGCAGCGGCTCCAAACGACTGTTGACGGCTTGGCTTCTGATCTTCGTCCACGAACCCTAAACCCTAAACCCTAGTTCGCAAGTCGCTGCCAAGACACCGCTGGAACCTCTGGAGCTTGACTCGGGCAAAAGATCGTCGAAGGCCTGCCCAAGAGGGTCGACATGGCATGAGGCCCTCTATGGCTCGCAGCTCGCATCACAGCTCAAAGTGCGTCCTTGCGAATGGGTATTATGTCCGCGCGCACGCCTGAAATGCATCGAACCTTTCCTGAACATGTGGCTTGCGACTGATGTGACGTCGTTTTCACGCCGGGAAGTGGGCATGAGTGAGCATGAACAAGTTTCGTCTGGTCCCGCTGAAGTCAATCTCAAGATTCTGGAGATTCTCTGAAAGCCGTGGTCGTGGCTTGTTTGCATGATGGTGTGCATTGGCAATGAGATCGCAGTGTGAATCCCTAGGCAACTAAACAGGCGAAGCCAAGCCGCTTCTTCCGGTGAAACGGATCTTCAAAGCCGCTGTAGGCAACGGCTCAAGCCATCAACCAAGCCTTCCCTGCTATGGACGCGCACCCAGATGCTCCAACAAAAAGATGCACGGAAACCATAAAGCCTTACCCATAGGCCCCATCATAGTATTTCCTTCTTGGGATTCCCTTATAGGATTCTAAATATGAACCCCAAAAAGGAACAACTGTGGGGCCTTATGGGTAACGGTAAAGCCTTAACCCTAAAATGTGCCCAGCCAGCCTTGGGCTTCGACCGCATCTTGCGAGCAGCCCGGAGTTGATGGGCTCTTTGATGTTGTAAGATGGATACAAGGTTACTACACTGGTTACTACTAGGATCCGACAAGAGATCTGGTGCGGTTCTTGAGCAAGCGAGCAGGGTCTTTACCGCCGTGCCGCTTCTTCTGTTGCGTCTGAAAGAAGTAATTACGTGGCCAGGCCTTCCTGGAAATGCTGCGGCCGAAGTTCAGACTAGGCGCGAAGGACAAGACTGATCTGTTCCGGTCGATCAATTTACCTGCTCTTGGAGGATGCAGTATGCGGGAGGCCAGCGATTCAGAGGTCGTATAAGCCTGAGCCCTGACACCCCTCAAATCTACAGGAATTTGTACTTGGGGCTCCGCAGACATAAGCAAGATAAAAGACAGGGCAAGGGTAGCAGCTCCTCCTGGAAACTGATCGTAATCACAATCCTGCAATGCTAATGGATCCTTCTTCAAACCCCAAAACCCCAAACCCCCAACCCGAAACCCTCACTCCCGGCTATCAGAACGTAAACCCTAAACCCTATCTCATAGCTATCTCTACCTATAGGCCCCACAGTAGTTCCTTTTTGGGGCTCATATTTAGAAGCCTATAAGGGAATCCCAAGAAGGAGCTACTATGGGGCCTATTCCGAAAAATGGCGAGCCCCATAGTACCCTAAATAGTAGGGCCCTCATTATAATTACAAGCACCCCAAACTAAGGTACCCCTCATTTTGGGAGACTCCCATTTTGTCAGCTTCATATTTAGCATCCTATAAGGGAATCCCAAAAAGGAACTACTATGGTTGATGGACAAAATCCTGCATGACCCTATGTACATAAACTATGGGATTTATGGTACTATACTATATTTGGGTCATGCAGAATTTTGTCCATCAACAGTATGGGGCCTATGGGTAGCTATCGTTTCCGTGCGCTTCGGCGAGGATTGGGCACTTCTCATCAAAGACCATGGCGGAGTTCCCGCGCGACCTTCGGATTTGGGGTTTCGGGTTTTTGGGTTTAGGGTTTACGGTTTAAGGTTTAGGGTTGAGGGTTTAGGGCCTAAGGTTTAGAGTTTAGGGCGCTCCGATGCCGCAGTCCAAAAGGCCAGGCAATCGGATTATCTTATCATGCTGTGGACCGACTGCTACTCGCCCACTGAAATGGAACCCTTAACCCTAAATCGTAGAAGAATTCATGCTCGGCGCTGGAAGCCTCAATGATGACTTGGGGCCACAGTCGAAGAGGAAGTCCTGGCAGAGGGAAGTTGCCGACTGAAACAAACTTGTGTGGTGCCGGGGCATTGAAGCATGCCTACGTCAGTAAATCATCTTCAGTACCCTTCTAGTACTCCTACAGAATCCTTCAAGTATTCTTGTAGCAACCTGTATAGTGGCTTTCGGTGTGCACCGGGCTACCCATTTTTCAACCTCGCGCTTTCGACGTAGCCGGCCTGAAACTGGATAATACTTCTTGGGCTGCTCGAGCACTGGCATTCAAGAGATTGGGCATCCCCCATGGGGTACTATAAGGGTGATTATGAGAGTGCTTCAAAGGTTGCTGTATGGGTTACTCTTCTGTTTCGACTGTGGCCAGCCCAATCTAACCTTGAACCCACAGCGCTCTGAAGTCTCATTGGCTACCTGCTACCCTCAACCCCAACATCCCTGGACCTTCTCTTATGTAGTCGGGGTTATGGACAGGGATCACAAGTGGTGGCCGTCCACCTTCGTTGGCCGCGATGGCACAGCAAAGCCGCCCTCTAGGTCTATCACGGGAACAGCAGGCATCGTCGAAGCTTGAATCGGGCCGCAAATCCTTCTGTTCAGCCTTTAGGGTTTTGGGCCCCATGATACTATAGTTATAATAAGGAACCCCCAAACTAGTACAGGTAATAATTTGGGCCCCTACATTATAGTTGAGTGTCTGAAGCGAGCTCTGCTCAATGCACAACCGCAAAAGGCTGTCTGCCCATCTGCGGTCCGACAGCAGGGACCACAGTCTCGACGGCATCGCTGACGATCCGTAGGCTTGTAGGCTTGTGTGAGCTTCTTGGCCCGACGATAGACAGTGTCTGTGGCTTCCGGTTTCCCTTCCAACTTTAAACCCTACATCCTAAAAACACAAAAACCCTAAACGCTCTACACACTCTAAACCCTACACCTTATACCCTGAAAACCCCCAAAAAAACTTAAGCCCTAATCCTTACGTACACCGAAGAGTACCCTTCATACTAACCCTAAACCCCAAGCAAGAGTAGTACCATCATACGGTAAATGATATAAGTTGTGCATTACAAATAACAATCAATATAATATCATTCCCGTAGTTTAGGGTCCTTAAGGTAATGCAGGATATATGATTACATATATATATATATAAAACTATACATACATATATATATATATATATAAAACTATACATATATATATATATATATATCCAACCACAGTTCGCTTATCACGGCCCTCATGGTAACCCCTCGGCTCAGAAGGCCAGAGGCCCAGCAGCTTCCGGGACCAGCACGTCCTTTATCCTGGGCCTTTCGGGTTAGGGTTCTAGGTTTTAGGTTTTAGGTTTTAGGGTTTAGGGTTTAGGGTTTAGGGTTTAGGGCTGGGCGACTGGATGCGAAACTGCAAGCTTGGCATCTGAGGTCGCTTTCTGCTTACTGTTCTTGCTACCATTGTCATAGTAGTACTTGGCTTTCCTATCGTATTAGTTGCTATTGCTCTTCATACGATTGTTGCCCCCTTATTGATAGTGCTGCTCTTATGATGTTATGATTATAATTACTAACAATAGTACTGCCATTCTTTGCCATTCTTGCTATTGTGTAGCAGCAGTAGTAGTAGTAGTAGTAGTAGTAGTAGTAGTAGTTGTAGTAGTAGTAGTAGTAGTAGTAGTAGCAGTAGTACATGGGACTATGCGTGTAGGCTTGCTGCCATGCATAGCTCTTCTGTGTGGGCAACACCTTTCACTTTCGGGGCTTCATCTGCCAGCCTCGCGGAAGCTGTCAAACCATCGCTACGTCCGTCAAGCAGTTCGGATCCGGGCATAGTTTGTAATCCAACTTCTCCTGGGCCGAATATTGTGATTTGCGCTGTTGCCTGTAAGAGTGTTGCAGAGATACTTACTACCAGGGTACCCCAAAGAATACTCGAAAATGCTTGGGCATCTGTGATGAAGCCATGGCAGATGCTGTAAGAAGAAGTGCCAATTGACAGGACGGCAAGGTCGCTCCAGGCAGGCATCATCTCAAATTGATAGAGGTCTTCCGACACACACCTGGAACCGCGATTGGAATGTCAACAGCGTGCGGGACATGCCGGACTGCGATACAGACATCACATAACGTGTTAAGAATTCCGATCTCGGGAAAGTGACGGATGCAGCGGCCGGCGGAAGGTCATCTGCATCACGCCCTGGTCCGTCAGCTTTCGCAACCTCGTCTGTTCTGTACGGATAGAAAGACCGTCCACTTGTCTGAGCTGTACTGTTTGGCGCATTTGCCATTGTGAGGCAAGCACGCTCCACAGGCTGACCCGGTGTCGCAGCGGGCAAAACTGATTGTTGCTGCGCAAAATGTATTAAGACAGGCTTCTACATGAGGGGCTGAAAAACAAACCTAGCCAAGAGGTTCCTTACAGAAAGAAGTGGATCTTGGCACGCTCGGACGTGATTTGCTTCTCTTCAGGAACTTATTCCTTTGGGGGGTGGCAAGCGGATTACGAGACAGGGTTGAAAACTCCTTTGCCACAAGCCGTTGCCTCTTCATTGCAAGCTCAAAGGTGAGGCCAGAGACTGGCGGCCAGGAGGCCACCAGGCTATCCTCGCAAGCTCGGACATCCCACCACGAGGTTCTAGGGACCCAGAAAATCTAATAACCCTGAATTAAGGAATGAAGCTTAAACTATAATATTAGGGCCCCGAGAATTTAAGGTACATTCCGCAATTTTCGGTGTATGGGGTGCTCTGGGGAGTCCTCCATGAATGGATCGTCGTGATGAAGAAGCTGCACTCTCGGACTTGATGCCGTCAGGTTGATGCGGGCCTGGAGCGGTCGGCGCTTAAGGAGCCTATGCTATCCCACCATGCTAATACGATGCTCGTGCTTCCACATGTTCAAGGAAATTGCAGAAAAAAGAAAGATCTGCGGAGCTTCAGCAGGTTCTCTCATCTCGTAACCATGGACATGGTAGTGTTTCTCTGTAGCGTTTTTCGTTGATTGACTGGACCCACTTCATTGAGTCAATCGAGTCCTCGATGGACGGCGATGTTGCAGGCGCCGGGGTCCAGATTGCACGCAGGAATCCAGCATCACCTCAGCACCAACTTTAAGCTTGGGACAAAAATGGCAAAAAAGCTCTGAGAGACTGCTTGGATTACACGTGATCAGGTTACGTCGCACGGGAACGAACTTCCAAAAAAACACAAGGCTCTATTCTTCTCAGAGCCGGTGCCAGCGCTTTAGTGTAATAATATGCTTGTGGTCAGTTTGAGGTGGTACTGTCGGGGCCGTAATAATTAGAATAGGGTTTTGGGGGTTCCTTAGCCTACTCTAATTTTTTTTGGTCCCTACCTTACCTGGTAGGCCCGGCGCCAAGAAGCTAATCCCTAAACCCTAAACCCTAAACCCTGTAGGCGCCAAGAAGCTAATCCCTAAACCCTAAACCCTAAACCCTCTAGGCGCCAAGACGCTAATCCCTAAACCCTAAACCCTAAACCCTCTAGGCGCCAAGACGCCAATCCCTTCCATCGGTGCTGAGGTCCTGTTTTGGCAGAGAGCATTCCGACAGATCAGGGCCTCGATCCTCGGGAAACAGGTCGCGTCTAAGGTGTCCTTTAAGGGTGCCTTTAAGCGTTCCTGTAAGGGTTCCTTTAAGGTATATCATCTGCAGATCGAGAAGAGCTGCTTGAAGCAAGGGTCAGGATAAATCCCTTGCCATACTTCTCTGCAACCTGTGACGCGGCATCTTCAAGAATCACCTCCAGTGGAGTGCCATTGCAGGATACCACGGCCAGCGACAGCCACAGAATCTGCCGGAGCAGCATACCAGCTCAGCTAAGCGATCATCTGCATGTCTCACACCAAGTAGACGTAGTGTCGCAAAAAACCAGTAGATGGAAGTAGTGATTAGTGCCTTCTTCTGCACGGCTCGCACTAAAGCCAAGCCAAGATCGCCCACGAGGAGCACCCCTAAGCTCGCATCGAATTGGCAATGGAATGGTTCAGAAATGGCACCCGGCAAAGAATGGCAGCAGCACACTCACGCAACCGGAGTCAGAGATGCATCCAATCCCTGCAAATGCACCTCCCAGGACAGCATGGAAGGCGTGCCCTTGTGGACCTTTCGGCATCCAAGGAGCACACAAGGCGGCACCCAGCCATGAAAGCAAACATCGATGCCTCCGGCGCAGCGCCGTTCACGTGGACAAAGGAACCTGTGCTTTCCGAGTTCAGGGTACAATTACCACGTCTTTGAAGTCGGCGAGGTCGTGTTCACTTGCGCAGACTAAGGCTGCTGCGCATTAGGTAGACAGCGACAATGGTGAACACCAGACCCACGAAAATGATGACCTCAGATCACCACGCAATACCCTGCAACAATCCTAAACGCAGCTTTTGGAGGCCAGTCCGACATCAAACGAGCACGGCGCATGCTGTACTCATAGGCCCTAAAGTAGTTCCCCTTTTTTGGGGTTCATATATAGAATCCGATACTTATAGCCCCAAAATACCCTAAACCCTAAACCCTAAACCCTTAAAAAGGAACTACTATGGGGCGTATGGGTCGCCGACACTGGGACTTTCCGGTTGAGGCTCCGGCGTACTTCCGAGCCAGGACTACAGCGCAGTTGCCAACCTTCAAGCTGCAAACCTGACGGTTTAGGGTTTAGGGTTTAGGGTTTAGGGTTTAAGTCAAATGGGGGTTTCAGAAAATTAGGGGTACCTTATTTTGGGGGTCCTTATAATAGGGATACTACTATTTAGGGTACTATATAAGGGTCCCGTATTTTCGGAAACCCCCAAATGCAGCTGTAACATAGTGGCCTTAGTATCTAAAATGCAGCTGTGCCATGATGGCCTTAGTATCTAAAATGCAGCTGTGACATGATGGCCCTAGTATCTAAAATGCAGCTGTAATATGATGGCCTTAGTAGCTAAAATGAGGTTTGGGGTACATTATACTATAACTATAAGCAGGAACACCAGAATAGTATTGGTAAACATGTAGGCCTCTATATATTACCGAAGCTGGGTTTGTAGGCCGAAACAACAGCACACGCGGTTAGGCTGCTCGCGCCTCGGTACGGAAGGTTGGAAAAGAGATGCGCGACTTTCGCGCAATGACGTTGAGGCACCGTGGACCTGATGGCAATCTGGCGAGGCATGCTTCGAGACGTGCTCACTGGCTTTAAGCTGAGCTGAGCGCAGTGGTGAACCACATCCTTTCGTGCGGTGCAGCATGTTGCAGTGTGACGCGAAACTCAATTTATGCCAGCAGACAGCCCGTTTGACCCTTTCCTACGAACCCACTACCCACTAACTTATAGCTTTATCGGGTCGCCTAAACCCTATATCCCTGTGGCCTGGCAGACCCGGGCGGCTCTACTTCTACGTCAGACCAGTGCGCCCGACCTTGAAGGCTGGCCATAGGAGTGGGAGAACCCAGAAGGCCATCCACCCCAGGCTGAACCAAACCACAATCGCCAGGAGCCTGGGCCGTGGGTTTTGGTGATTGCAAGTTGGCAGATCCAGTCCAACAATTCCCTGCATGTCTCTCGATTCTGCCGGTCCTATGCTGTGTCGCTCCCGTGCGGCAGCTGGAGCATTCATGTGGGTGGTTGTCAAAATTATGGTCCCTTTTGGGGTCCTTATCATAATACGGCACCTATTATTTAGGGTACCCCAAAAGGGACCTTATTTTGACAACTACCCATGTCGGAAAGGTCCTCTTCTCGACAACCCAGCAGGTCAAAGCGATGCGGGATTGCTTCGAGATTCGTCTCCTACTGACTATGCTTGTTTCTAAACATGCCGGCATGTAGCGACAACTGAAGGTCACACCATACAATCGTAAACAGTTGATTCAAGTGTGCTCTTGAGCTTTGCGGCCTGTCTTCTTGCAGAACTTGCTGTAGGTGCACCGTTGGCCTTCTTCTCTAGACGCGCTGCTGTGTCAGCGACAGTTGCAAGCCAGTTGTTGCCTTTCCTTCGTTTGCGATTCGCCAGCTGGCCTTCACATCTTTCGGTGGGCGACTAGTTGCGTGTCCGCTAGAAGCATCAGCTACGTGAGCATGCAGTTTCTGCCACATGTTGGCACTTCCCCGAAGAGGTAAGACACGCTTGAACCCAGCTGACGTCTGATAAATCAGTGCCTCTATTTAGGACGCACGATGAAGGCTTCGGTGGATGCGTGACACCTTGCACCACCTATATTATTACACACGACCTATGCATCTGCTAAGTACACACATTGCCCATGAAGAAATTCGGACGTAGATCTCCGGCGAAAAGAGACCAGAGACGAAGTAAAGCTTAAGTGCCCTGCTGTCAAGAACAGGTTCCCAACGTATCCCACAGGTTCGCACTCCGTTTCATTGCCACGTTCCCTGTATGCTGTGATTCTCAGCTCTGAAGTATTGAATGATGACCTGTGCAGCCTGCGCAGCATCCACTTTTGACTTTCATTGCCTTCCTCTTCGTACCAGCTAGTGCGAACGGCTGGCTCGAAAAGCTTCGTCGAGTAGACTACAGGGAAGGACAGATCTACGTAACGACTACAACAGTTCAAATAACCTTCAACATACTTTAACTCACCATAACATACTATAATGGTACTCATAACAATATATATATATATATATACATATATATATATATATACTTTTAAGCTGCACTAATAAAAACGCTAATTTACCTAGAGTCTAGACCTAGAGTTAACAGACAAATTACTTTTGACAGACACCTTGGCAAAGCCAGAGTCAAAATACTGTACCGTAACATATTTCACTATAGTATTATTTTGCAGTAACCTAAACCCTAAACCCTAAACCCTAGTGACTAGCTCCAGGCCCCCAGAAGCTCGAGCAGCTCGAGGGCCAGACCAGGTGACCCAGGAAGCCTCGTAGTCGATGAAAGTCACCTCTCGACAGTACTCTACATGTTCAGTTAATAGTATAGTACACTACAGTATAGTACACAGCACTGTATAGTGTAGTATAAGTATAGTGTGGTATAACTATAGTGTAGTATAGTATGGTATAGTATGGCGTACTATACCCTGCCCTGTGGTAGGCAGAGGTTTTAAGTCCCCCGGCCACGGAGCGCTCGCAATGCATGCAGGTGCATCGCTCCGGCCTGACGTCACGCAAGGCTCTCAACAGAATGTATTAGATTTTTTTGATATTATACTTTACTATATTCTAGTATATCACATTATATTCCGTTATAGTACATTATAGTACATTCATTATAATATATTGTAGTATATTATAGTATATTATAGTATATTCTAGTACATGATGGTATATTATAGTATTTTCTATTATAGCATATTATAATGTACTAGATTGTTTTATGAATTTCAGAAGACAATGAGAGACAAGGCGACAGAGCGGTACAGCGGGAGCTGAGACTCCGGCATGTCGCCAAAAATGAGGCCCTCGTTGGGATCATCCCGCGCCTCACACACACCCACACATACATACTTATATACTACACGATATACTATATCATCTTAGATTAGGTTATATTATATTATGTTATATTATGTTATATGATATCATGCTATAGTACAAGGTTCAGAAACTGGGGCCAGGACCTCTGTGCTAAACTCGATCAGTGAGGGCCCGCCATTCGCCTCTTTCTTTGGCCTTACCGTGGCGACGGTCAAGCTCAAGCAGAAGCAGATGCCTAAACCTCACTGTATGTTTTGGATGTGGCGAGCCCTTCCGCAGCCACCATGCCAGCACATATTTGATGTCACGCCTCTGCTGGCAGGCGTTCACCTACCATGTGAGAGCACCTGAAAACGAAGTTTTTGCAGGGGCGGGGGGCGTAAACGTGGATTGAGCCTGGTTCGGAGGCATGGGCATAGGTCTAGGTCCTTCGGCACGATGCATATTAATTGAATCATACCCCGCCCCCCTGTCTCCCGACATGGTCGGAACGTTGTCATACCTATTTCCCTCTTGAAAACCTATCCATGCTTTGCGCTCACCGCGGAGTACTCCTCTCTCCGCCCTTTCCATGTCACACCGAAACTTCTTGAAGTCTGAACGCTCACAGATTTCCGCCTGGGCTTGTGCCCAGGCTCAGCTGCGGCTCTTGCTGAATTTTTGTTGCCCTCTCCTTCTGGATGGCCACATAGCTGTGATATGCTCCATGTATCATGGCCCGGACGCCAGAATCTGACTGCACTGTCGCATCGAGCGCATCAGAGAGGCGTGGGTGGCCTGGGTGATTGGACACGCCTCGTTCGTGCTCAATCTGGGTGCTTCCCATGGCGTATGTCGTAGGTGAACGGCAGGTATGTTGAAGCACTGCGGGAAGTTCGAGTATTGGTCTAGTCAGTAGAACGGTGCTAGTCTGCTAGTCAGCGCAAGAAGCGGCACATGCAACAGCGCAGCAATCACTGCCAGTAATTAAGTGGAAAAATGGCATGGTAGAAAAAATGAGACCAGTGCCTAAACCCTAAACCCTAAACCCCCATCACTGTGACAATGGAAGGCTGTGACTGTCAGTCTTGCTAAAGCCACCACAAGCTCTCTATCTCCAAAAATTCCACAACTTCTCATCCTATTAACAAGAGCCCTAGCCGCTATCTTCAGCATGAGCTATAATAACAATTATTATTACTCCTACTACTCCTCCTACTACTACTACTACTACTACGACTAGGGTTGCCAATTGAGGGCTTGGGGTTCGCAGAAAAAGCGGCGTCTTTCCTCGGCGTCGCGCTCTGGGTGGCCTTCTCTTCCTTAGGCCCTCATCTACAGTGGGCCTGGAATAAGGAATGAGTGGAGCAACTCCAGCGCCTGGTCTCCACTACCCTGCTCTCTCCCGTGTTCCATCCACTGCCCCGGGATCAGATCCCAAACCCCGAAGGCCAAACTCCAAGCACAGACCTTCAAACCTGGAGGCCTAAACTAAAAGCCTCTGACATACCCTAAACATCCAAAATGCCCTAAACACCCTAAACCGAAAAATCGCTTGATGTCTGCGGAGGTGAGCGATGATTCCAGCAAGCTGAAGTTTCACGCCAATGATGTTGTTGCGTGGGAGCTTCGTGTTGACGTCTTCTGGTGCACATGAGCAGGTCCAAGCTTGCGGTCTGAATCTTTTCCACCTAAACCCTAAACCCCAAACCCTAATCCCTAAACCCTATCCAGGGGCCGCACCCCTCTGGTACGGGGTATTGACCTTGCTCAGATCACAAGTACTCAGGCTCCTCAGGCTTCACAGTATTGCCCTAACTTCGCTTGGGTTCTATAAGAGCTCCTTTAAAGGCGCCTATAAGGGTTCTATAAGGACTTAGAGGTTTAGGCTTTGGAGTTTTTAGTTGCTTCGCTGTCTTTCTGCAGCTCTCTGGGTGGCAGGCTACGCAGGGCCAATTCCGTTGTCTCTTCCCGCGCCTCTCGAAAGATCCCGGAAGCGCTCTCCAAACATCCCGGCAGTGTCACAACAGTGTGGTATAGCATAGAAGAAGACGTATAATGTCGTATAGTTTGATATAACTGAGTATATCTGACTCAACATAACGCACCATGATATACTGTACTACAATGTAGCGCATGACGTTATAAGACATGTGACATAACATAATGCAGGCCAAAGTCTGCGGGACAACGGAGCCTTCCGACGCTCTCGGTCCTGCCCCTCGTGGTACATGGCGCTAAGACAAGAGCAGCAAGGCAAAGGATGAGATCTAAGAACTGTAACCGCGGCTGTTAACAGGGACGCGCGCATAAAGCCTGGGAGTCACTGTACCAGTGCAGATGCCTTTGACCTGACCTGGGGAGAAGTGCAGCTGCGCATCTGCGTCTAGTTGTACAGGCCATGCAGGCATCAACATGATATTCCTTGCGGCCAAGGGCAGACATGCAGTGCAGCAGCTTGACAGTCAGCAATCAGCGTCATGCCACGCAGACGCCGGCCATCCGTGACAGTGACTACAGCATCACACATCCAAACGACGCTCGACAGCAGGGATTGCACGCTCAGTCTTTTGGAAACTACGTCTGTCGTGTGCAACATCTAAATCTAAACATGCAATCCCCGCGGCACATGGGGGTTTATGAAAATAGGGGACCCTAATATAGTATCCCAAATAATAGGATCCTTAATATAAGGACCCCAAAATAAGGTACCCCTAACTTTCGGAAACTCCCACATGGAGTCCATGTCTCGCTTTTTGTCTCGAGAGATAAAGACGCCACTGCTGGCGCAAAACGTCCAAAAGCTGGGCATGCAGTCGGATCTACATCGTAAATCGTAATTCGTGCGGGGCCGGGCTCCGTCCACGTGTTACTTCTGGTGAGTGGCTCTGATGACACAGACTTGAGAGATTCGTGGAGAAAGGCCAACCGGGCAAAGCTATGAGATTCAATGGAATTGGACTTCATCCCTCTGGGACATGCCGTGTGCAAAGCCGCGCATGTGCAACTGCCGGTGCAGAGACTTCCCAGTTGGTTCAACGTCTATCCTCACGGAATACGCAACAATCGCCAGACTTCACGTCACCGTCAGTTCCGTGGCACCCGTATTTTATCTTCTTAGACTCGGACCTAGGAGCATTGCCTAATCTAACATAATATACTATACTATATTATCTTATAACATACTATACTATAATATATTATAATATACTCTACTACAATTATAATATACTATAATATAATATAGTATAATATAGTATAATAAACTATAATATAATATAGTATAATAGAATATAATATAATATAGTATATTAATATGTAATCTAATAACTGACCGGGAATCTTTGCTCTGGAGTCGCTAGCGCTCTGACAAGCCTGCGAGCACTCCGCAGGCAGAACGCCTGCTACGCGCAGCCACGCTGCGTCCGAGCTCAAGCAGCCTGCCAGCCAGGATGACGATCTATTACGTTGTATTATATCTACTGTATATACTATACATAAATAAATTAAAATACATAAACAAAAAATATATATATATATATATATATATTGCTTTATTGTATTGAATTATATTACGACTCAGATGAGGGATCTGGCGAGTACTGGTCTGAGGCCTAAGCTCTTTCTAGCCCACTCACCACAAGAGCTATGCAGAGCATATTCATTATAGTATATTATAATATATTATAGTACATTATAGGTAAATTATAGTATATTATAGTATATTATAATTTCTTTTGCCGCCGGAGCTTTGGTCGCCTCTCGTGCAAACACCTTGGGCCTCCTATTCCACGTGCCTGGCGACACGCCTCGTCATGTTCGCACAGAGTCTGACGAAGAGGTCGGGTACCATGTGAAACTGTCCGTTTGCATCACATGCTGTGTTGAACGCTGGCTGGGCAGGGAACCGTGGCATCAATTGCACCACCCTTCTGCAAATCCATTACAATCACAAGTATAGTACAAGTACTACTACAAGCACCAGCTTTGCCTTGCCTGCGCATGGAGGAAACCCTTCTGCAGCTAGCGAGGTCTGACCTGCAAGGGCTTAGGAGGATTTGATTCTTGTGGCCTTTGGGCTGGGAGGCCTTAGCCCATCTTAAGGCTGTCGGAGAAAAGGTGTCTTTGTGACGGCAGGGACTTGGGGTGTGGTTGTTTTGAACGATGGGATGTAGTGCTGGTCGAGTCTATGTGAGATGATGGGCGAACGGGGCGCAGGATGAGGTGGCGTGCTTCTGGAAAACAAGCGTGGTTTAGGGTCTAGGGTTCAAGGTTTTTTTTTTCCTTCGCCTGATTAGGGTTCCGGAATACCATGCTGGTTGAGGCATGTAACAGGAGCCAAGTTACTATTAAGGGGATTCGACCGGGTTCAAGGGTTTAGGGTTTAGGGTTCAGGGTGCTAGGGTTTAGGGGTTGGGGGCAGTATGCTTGATGCTGGGGATGCTGTGCACGTGGAGCCTGTAGTGTTCTGACAGCAAGCCGACTAAGGCACACCTTGATTCACGTGTACCTGCTTATGTGATATACTAGAACATATAGTAGATCGTACGATAACAGATCATACATAAAGCGCTATACAGAGCATAGGTATAATATGTACAACACACAATGATATACAATGGATCTGGAAATGAGCTCTCGAGCCTTCTCCGGGTCAGCCTCTTGGCGCACGTCCAGGTTGTAGGTGCTACTGCCGCGGTTGTAGCCCTCCTTTCAAAGGACTTTCAAAGTCAGGAGTGTTACTCGGGGGGATTCTCCCCTTACTTGCCGAGTCTTTACCAAACAAGACCCTACGCAGATGGTCTGTTGTTTGGATCCCATGTAACAGCGGCAATGCAGCTGATGGCAATGCCGAGCCCCGGACGACCTAGAGCACTTCATAAATATCTACATATATATATATATACATACATACACACATATATATATATATATTTATTTTAATATTCATATTTATATTAGACGAAAACTACAGTATGTATTTCAAATAAGTATATAAATCAACAAGAACATATGTACCGGTGCTAGGGATCTGGCCACATGCGCAATGATCCACTTGCCCAGGGAGCCGCCTTGGCTTGATGAGAATTTCTTCTGCAGCGCTGCCAACAGCGCTTGCAAAAGGCAAAATGCATGTGGTGACTCTTCGGTGTGGGCTGGTGCCCACAGGAAATCCTAACCCTAAACCCTAAACCCTAACAGAAAGCCCCTCATACACAAGCAGCATCGTCGCTCTCGTCTTACCAGCACAGCTCTGCGGAGGCCCGGGCTGTAATACATCACTTCGGTACCCTTGGGCCAGGAAAGCCTCTCCCGGGAGTTTCCGAAAGTTAGGGTACCTTATTTGGGGATCCTTATAATAAGGATCCTACTATGTGGGGTACTATATTAGGGTACCGTATTTGGGGATCCTTATAATAAAGATCCTAGTATTTGGGGTACTATATTAGCGTCCCCTATTTTCGGAAACCCCCACATCGGAAGCACCGGACAAAACCCTGCTCTGCCTTTGTTCTCGATTCCAAAACAAGGTGAATCTTGTGGCAAATCGTTCTGTATACATTATTCTATTATGTACCGTCGCTATCTTCAATAGGCTTTTTAATATGTACCATCAGAACAATGGGAATGATGATAATAATGACAGTAAGACGAATAATAAACATGAATAGCAGCGATAAGACATATATGTATATGTATATATATATATATATGTATATATGTATGTATATATATATATATGTATATATATATATATGTATACTATATACCATAAGCATCAGGGCAAGATCTGCAAAACAACGCCGCGAGCCTGGCCTTTCCTCCTTGGGTGCTCGCAGGGCCTGCGCCGATCGCATTTCCCCCCCGGTCTTTATTCGGTTTCTTTAAAATGTCCTATACAGTAACATGAACTTTTACTATGTATGATAAGTTACACTATACCCTACTACACAGTATCATGGTATTTTCCGCGGAATTTCTGCGGGTATGCAGACTTCTTGCATCTCCCAGTTTTTGCTATAAGCTTTGATGCAAGGAGCTCGCACAGTAACCACGCCTTAATGGCTTGCACACCTGTAGGAACGTCTCATCAGTCCCAAGTCTTCCTGATGGTATTATGTTGGCCTCGAGCTTGAGCTCAGTCATGCTTCCACCTCGAGAGGATCTGAAATTAAGTTGCTATGACTGGATATAAAGTAAACAATAGGGTGAATAGGGTTTCGTCATTATAAAAATGACATTTAGCTGAGAGGGCCACAAAGAACGCTCCAGTCGGCCGCCGTGCCAAGAACCGAAGACTGGTGAGCTTTGTGATCGGGAGCCCCACTAATGTCAAGCTCCGCGATGCCCCCGCGGACAGCCACAACTGGAGCCTAGCTCAGGGCTAAGTGCAAAGACTACAGCTGCAAGTGCCGTCGTGAACCTACAGGAAACGCAGCGTGACGAGCAAAAGCAACTCATCCCTGAGTGAATATGAGTACGTCAGCCTGCCTTAACGCTGTGAACAAAAACCAGAACCAGGGTGCGGACGAACAGATCATGCTCTGGAATGTGGCACCAGAAACCTGCTCCAGACAACTCACCCGGGGAATTCAGGCATGATTGTCCGAACCTTGACCGATACGAGCATGTCTGCCAAGCACCTGTCCACGACTCAGAGTTAGCTTCAGGACTGGGGGGGAGTCGCAAAATGATTAACCTGTGGCGCTTGCGAACTGCACGTGACAGGCCATGCATGATATTGAAAAGGCACCTGAATGCTGGGCAGGCTAGAGTGGGAATTTGGCGCTACGCTCATGATTTCGTAACGGACGAAAGACGCTACTCCCTTCTGCGGTTGTACTACTACTCCGACTACGACGACGACGAGTACTACAGCTGCCGGTGTGCCAGCGAAGACCTCACATGTTGAAGCTGTGTACATAAGCAGACAAATGCTCACTGACAAGTCTCAGTTCTATTTCTCGTTGCGGTAACAAAAACCATCATAACAGGGATGGTCCAGAAGTTGCGCGCTGGCTCCAGCAAGCGATATTGTTATTATTCCCCTTCTTTTTCATGTTTTGTACATATGTATACATAAATACATATTATGTACATGCACGAAAACGCATGTATTTCAATAGATGTGTCTATATATATATATATATAAACACACTTGTGGTTGCACATACTTACACACATACTTGTTGCAATACACTATAGCTGCATAGAATCGAAATGTAAGATAATATATTACATAAGAAATAGCGAGATAAGATGCGGTAGTATGATACAATTTTGCTATAGTGCAACGCGCCATAATTGGATATAACGCAATGCATTGAACACAGATGTAATGATCTGCCCCAATTGAGTGTAATGAAACATGAATTACGCCATGAGATATTTTCATATACTGTATTAAAGCGTTCCATATTAAAGTTAGCATACTGTACTATATTCTACTATATTTTGCGGGCTTATACTAATCGTTGAAGCACAGAAAATAGCATACTACATCATACTTTATAATAAAATTGAATACTATGTCATCATACCATATGTCATTGTCCCCTTATCTTATCACACGTCAGATTGTATTGGATACGTTGTTCACACTGGTCATAACATCATAGTCTCCATTCCTTCTTTCGCTTGTCCTATATCATCTTCTATTCTATATTTTACCTCATGGGGGGATTATTGCGTCGTTGGAAAGATCTACCGCGCCTGCCACATGAAACAAGCTTCTCGTTGTAAAAGTTGAGGCTATGTTTTCTTTTTCGTCACTACAGTTTGGCAATGCTTAAAACTGACATTTTGGCAACGCTAGGCGATGTTTCGGGCTGTTGAGGCTTCGTAATAGGACATGACATGGTCCAAGTGTGCACATGGAGTCGAGTTACTGCATATGTACATATCTACAGGACATTTACATAAGCTTTGCATACACCACGATGTGTAATTCTCATCTGAGCAAGTTCATCCGATGCAGTAAGCTGCGATAGGCACATCTGACGAAGTTGATCCGATGCAGATTTCACAAGGATTATTGAAAAGCATGCTGTCATAAAGAACGTGACACAAAGAACGTTATTATCCCGCCCCCTCCACCCCAGTCGCAAAAGCAAGCCGAAAAGTAGGCGCAGTTATCCCCCCATGTGCATATTTTACACTATACCTGATCGTCTCTGTCAATGGCCATGACCATGCCTCGACAGCCTCGGCGTCTACCGTCGCGTCCGTCTGCCAGGTTGTGCAATCGCTACACTGAGGTGTAGAGTTACTATAAGGGGGGTACTGCAAGGGAGTTATAGGGGTTTAGGGTATAGGGCCAGCTTCCCGCAAGAGTTCCGTGCTGGCTGCTTTTCCGAACTACTGCCGACGGGCAAACCTCGAGGACTTCTTCTGGGAGCTTTCCGACCTGGCGCAAGCAATGTCATGCGCAACTATAATCACATGCACTGCAAGTTCAATGAAACAGAAAAATCTAGTATACTGTAAATATAAGAACAGAAAATAACAGAAAACATTAATCTAGTATAAGGTCGCAAGATTAGAAAGTGCTGCAAGCGGCATCCGCCAAATCCTGCAACCATGATGAAGTCTCCTTTTCCATCCTGGCCCATGGGTGAAGCGCAACCCACATCCAGCCGTAGAAGTGACACATGGCACACAAGTTGCGCATGCCAATTGTTGGGTACACTATGCCCACCCTAAACCCTAACCCCCTATAATTCCTTGGAGCCCCCTACACTTATCATAGTAATCCTAATCCTAAACCCACGTCTTGATGGGCAGCTGCCTACAGCGAGCTGAAGGCACAGGCTCTGCAACCTCCGAGCTGCTCTCGCTTTTTGGTTTGGGGCTCTGAATTCGCGACTCGCCCCAGAGGGGTGTGCAAGCTTTAGGGGGTTATCCACCAAGGCATCACTACTCTGCGTCCAGACCTTCAGTAGGAGAGAGCTTGTACAAATGTCCGAGTCGAACAAGATCTGCGACTGCTCTCGCATGGGACTTGGATTCAGACTTCGATTCCAGTGCCTCCATCTCGAATCGCCATGTCTCGTTCTGAACGAATGCAGACACCATGGCATCTGTACCGGCCACTGCTGTCAAGGCCTTTTTGGCAAAGAACGACGAGATAATCTCAGCAATCGTACGGGGTGTCAGCAAGTCTCGGTGTATGTAGGTGATCAAGGACTCATCCAAGTTTTTCTGAAAAGCCCATGCGACGCAGGCAGCCAAGGTGCATAGGCCGAAAACAAAGCGCAAGCCATACTCCACCCAAATGTGGCGATAGACATGCCATCTGCCAGCCACTCCTTTTTTCGTGCCTGTGATACGGTATCCGGTGTGAATGCCGACTGCAAGATACAGTGTGGCCGCCACGACTCCCACAGAGAGTGTTGGGTCCCCAAAGATCTGTTGAAAGAGGGCGAAAATGACCATGTAGATCGGCAGGACTTCGAACGTGGTGAGGATCAGCAACCACCCCCCTGCCTGAGTTCCAGGGAACATGGCCTTCAAGTTGATCAACGATTCCGCTAGACCATTCGCCAGCCCAAGTGCAGCAGAAACCATGTTCTGTCCAACCATGACTGCCAACAGCATACCTCGACTGAGTTTCTTACCTGCAACTTGGTACCTCATGATGGACAAGGAATTAAGACACCAGGAAACCAACACGCACCAAGCGGGCCACCTACCGTATCCATACAACTGGATCTGCTGTGCTTCAGTACAAGGTGCCAACGGCATACTCGGCCTGAGTGCTTGCAAAAGTCGTGCTCTCGGAAAGCTGCATGATGGAGAATCTTTGCAGCGTCGATATCGCATTCACAAGGTCGGCTTGAGAAACCTCTCCTGATAATGAAGAGGCACGCATCTGCTGTTGCAGCGCCTGCGGTGCATAGGAACGCCTGGCAGCCTGAGCGTCACACTCCTGCATGAGCCGTGTCAGTGCTTCTCGAGCCTGTTGGCCGTTCGTCGCAAGAGTGAAGTTCACGCAGTTCTGAATACACTGCCTTTCTGCTAGAGTTCCTGATGTGAGTCTCTCGCAGCTCATTTGGCGACAGCGATCCTCCACAGACCACACGCAGGGCACAGACTGATTGAAGAAAACCGCATGCCAGTTCTCTCCGTTGGTGAGACACCACTGAAACGGATCACTTGCGACGCCCTGCATTGACTCGTCAAGAGCTCCAACCTGTTGCGATGCCAGCTGAATGTTTAGAAAAATCTGACTGAAACCTATCTAGGAAGGTTGAGTTCCGGAGAGAACTGTAAAATCGGGTCCCTGTTTAGGTCCCCAAAATAGTTCATGAATAGGATCCTTAAGCCCCGGGAGTAGCCACGCCTGCTGCAGCACCTGCAGGTTGACCACAAGCTGGGATCCAGCCATGTTGCCACTGGCAGAGATAGAACTCACGCAAACATCCGCTGTGATCGCCCTCCAGTCGACCATGGAACGAACAGGAAAGATGAGAAACAACATGAAGGGAGGGAAGAAGGAGAGCAGCCACGTAGCCCAAACGATGCGCCTGCCCAGCCTGAGGCTGCCTGTTGCTCTGCTGGGACTTGCAACGCACACGGCCAGCAACGTACCAACGCAAGCGAGAATTGCCAGCAACCAGATGCCAACATCAATAACCTGAAGAGTACGAACTAGTGGTACGAAGCGGTCACGCGGAATCGTTGCCGCAACTTGATGTTGCAGGAAAAGGCTGTAATCTGCGTCACTGAGCCAGGGCGATGATAGTGCTGCATGCAGCAGTCCGAAGACTAAGCCTACCAGCAGGTAAGAGTAGCGCCACGCAAGGTATGGTCCAACCAGACCAGACGAAAAGCGCTCCTCCTCTGCATGTCGGGACAGGTCTGCGGCAAATCTTCCAGCTTTGGCCTCTGCAGCATCATCCCACAACGCATTGCGCAGGACGCCGTAGCAGAAGTCGCATAAAGAGCACATCACGGAGGGACAGCTACTCCTGCACAACCCCTCCCCTTGGGCCAGTTCTGCGCGTATGGGGTGACTCGGCTGCCGACTGTAGACTATTGGGACTATTGGGTGAACTGAAAAATTCGAAGAAAAGGAGAACTGCGTGCTGGAGGCTAGTCAAGGCCAGAGTGACAGGTTTTCGTTGCACAGCGCGCTTCTACTTGCAGGATCATGGGTATTCATAAGTGGGGCTATTCGTCCTCAGTAGGGGTTATAACTACAATTACTTTACTTATAACCCGACTTATAACTACCCCAAACCTAAACCCCATAGAACCTTGAAAGGAACCCTGCTGACTAGCCATGAACCTTCAAGCACCCTCCGTTCCCTGGGCTTCCCTGACCTCCTGGCCGTTCAGCGGCTTTGTGTTGCGCTTCTCTATCCCCGGCCTGCAGGAGACTTACACAAGGACCCCTTCCGGCCTGCAGGAGACTTACACAAGGACCCCTTCCTTTTCATTATAGAATATCATAGCGTGCCATAGAAGAACATAGTATACTATAACTGACTCTAACATGTCATGGTATAGTATAGCTTGGTATAGTACGAGGTATTTGACAGCAATTCGGGCTCTTCTCATCTGCGCCTGTGCGAGTTGTTCTGACAGCATCCAGTTCCGTCATCCGGGCTTGGACAATTTCAACCGGCTCTATAAGTCATTGCAGTAGATGGAACCATAGCACAAGGTCACAGGTGTTTAGTCCAATCATAGGAGTTCTGTGCAAATCGGTCAGGATTGGGACAATAACAACCATTATGACGAGTTCACGATTTCCGTAGGAAACCAGCTGCCATAAGTCTCCTCATGAGCCCACTTGCAGTAGCAGTTACTTGTACCGCTATAGTACAGTATTCCTTTAGGTAACCCAAAACACACGACCATCTCCCCATGACCTCATTAACTCATCTTTGGGCCATGGAGGCAACCAAAGAAGTGGCACCGAAGGGTTCAGGGGCTAGCAGACCCCCCGCGATACAGACCCGCAACCCCCCCTACAAACCCTAACCCTTAAACCTTAACCCTTAAATCCTAAACCCTAAACCCTAAACCCTAAATCCTAAACCTTAACCCTTAAATCCTAAACCCTAAACCTTAACCCTTAAATCCTAAACCCTAAAGCTGATCCGAGCCTCATCATGGCCGAGGTGAGTCCCGGATCCGCCGCTTCGCCTGCCTCCTTCCTGAGCCGCAACATCAAGCCCCCTCTTTGTGCCAGATGGAATCTGGGTAGTTCTCTAAATTAGGGTCCCTTTTAGGCTTCTTATATGCCGTACTATATTGGGGTGTAAGGGTGCCGTACTATATTGGGGACCCAAAAGGGGACCCTAACTTAGAGAACTACCCATCTTCTAAATGCCCAAAAGAGCCTTCTCGAGGCTGCTCCCCTTGCGGCACTTCAGGCTGAGGCAAAGGCGGGATGACGCGCACGCGGATCCGGTCGCAGTCGGCATGGTCACGGATGTCCAGGTTGTAGGTGGAATCCTCCAAGAGCAGAGTCATTCGGCTCAAGTCGAGGCCTCGAGGCTAAAAAAATGGACTTGCTTTTGAGGCCGCGGCCATCTCATTAAAGGACTTCACGACAGCAGGCAAGGACTGTGCGGCTCCCTGGGCAGAGAGCCCCCCTAAACCCTAAACCCTAAACCCTAAACCCTAAACGTGGGCAGAGAGCCGCTCTCCTTCTCTCTTCCGCTTCCCTTTAAAGCTCGAGGTCGCCTGCTGCTCGCGCTGTTGACTAAAGTAGTTCACCAGTGTCCCCCGAGGCCAGGCCTGCGCAAGGGCCCAGAAAACTGCACACTGCGGTTTAGGGTTTAGGGTTTAGGGTTTTGGGTTTAGGGGTTTAGGGTTTAGGGTTTAGGGGTTTAGGGTTTAGGGTTTAGGGGTTTAGGGTCCTAGAACTCTCTCGCGGCCTGTTCAGCAGTAATCTCCTTCGCCGGGGCAATCCGCGAGGGCTGCGCATGAGGCCGCACGTCCAAGTTGTACGTGCCTACAGGTTTCCGCGCAATGTTTGGATTCAGCAGGGTGGATCAACAAATCCGTAGCGTGTAAACTGCTGAGAGCTGGGCAGTCAAGGTCATTGAAACCTTGTATAACCGCAGGCAAGAACGGATATTGCGTTGACCTGGGCGACAACAACAGCGACAACAGCAACAGCGACAGCAACGGCAACGGCAATAATAGTGATAACAGTAGTAACAGTAGTAGCCGTCGTCGTAGGAGTAGACTACGAGTAGGAGCACAGGAGAAGGAGCAGGACGAGGAGTAGAAGTAGTTGTAGTAGTAGTGGTAGCGGTAGTAGTGGT